AACGAATTTTTAGAAAATATTTTAAACAATTGATTTGTTTCGAAAATTTTCCTGGAAAATTGTATTTCAAATAATTGAATTCATGTAAAAATTTTATTATTCATGATATTAATTGAAATTTTAAGAAGAATTTTATTAATTTTTTATTAAAATAACTGAATTCTTTTGAAAAATTTTACTAAAATAGTAAATATTTAAACTATTTGAATTTCAGCGAAGAATTTCATTATTTGTGGAAAATAATTGAATTCCTTGCAAAAAATTTTGAAAATAATTGAATATTGTTTCAAAGAATTTTATAAACAACTTTTTTTATTTGTTTCTAAGAAGAATTTTATTAAAATTGTTGAGAATACCTACTTTTTTTTATTTTAGCTTTTAGCGGATTTGAAGTAGTGAAAAATTTGAAAAACATAGAAAAAAATATCCTTTATGTCACAAATTTAAAGAAAAAGTATCCAAATAGTAGCTAATCGTAAAAAAGTAGTAAATAGTAGGTTTTAGTATCAGGCTTCGAAATTTTCTATTAAATAGGGATTAGAGAAAAAAATTTTGAAAAAAAGGATTGAAGAAATATTTTGAAAAAGATCTGCAGTTCTTTTTCAAAATATTTCTTCAATCCTTTTTTTTAAAATCTTTTCTTTAATCCCTATTTAAAAATCTTTTTTTCCACTCCTCTTCTTTCAATTCCTTTCTTTAATCCTTTTTTTCAATATTTTTTTCCGATCCGTTATTTTCGATCGGTTCTTTTTTCTGAATCCTTTTTTTTCCCTCTCATCCACCACACTAGTGACGGCGGGCCGTGAACGCATTGCGGAAAATTGTTCTCGATTTGCATGTGTATATATATATATATACATATGTGTAAATACACTCACGATGAAGCCGAATTCGAGGCATTCAGAATTGGGATGTCGATCGGATTTTCGACGGCTCGATTTCACCACAATCCTGTCCCCCAGTTGATCGATCACTTTCGTTGCCCTCCTAAACGCTTTATAAATTGATGCGTCGTCCCTTGTTTACATCCCTGGCGCAACGGAATTCGAGGATTGTCTGTTTCCATTTGCTCCTGAACTACCAAAATCCAAACGGGAATGTTCATATACGGTGACAATGGATCATTTCCTCTATAGGGGAAATTAGACAATGGTCGACATTAATTAATTCAATTTATTTTTTTCTCCCACTCTCTCTCTCTCTCTTTACTTTTAATTAATAATTTATTTTTTAATTCATTTAATTTGCACTTTCAATGTTAGTTTTAATTTAAAAATTTGGCAAATTAAAATAAGAGGCTTTAGTTTGGAAACAATTTTAAATAAAATTAACCTAATTAATTAGTTAACTAATTTGTTTTTTTTACTCTTAAAATTAATTAATCTGGATTTATTTATTATTAAAATCAATTAATTATTTTTTAATAATTTAAATATTTATTTGTTTTACTTTTTATTTTAACTAATTTGTATTTTTTGACTATTAAAACTAATTAATTTAGATTTATTTACTATTAAAATTAATTAATTTGGATCTGGATTATTAAAATCAATTAATTAATTTTTAATAATTTAAATATTTATTTGTTTTACTTCAAAGTCTTTTTTATTATAAACTTAAAAACGGCTTTGATTCGAAATCTCCTTGTTTCGACTTTTTTTTCTTAAACATTTTTTTATCAACTTTTTAAATAAATTAAAAAATTTTTAAAGCTTTAAAATAAACAATAAAAGAGTATAAATAACGAAAGTAAAAACAATAAATAAAATAATAGAATAGAAACAATAAATAAAACAATTTAATTTTTAAAGTTTAAAATAAACTTTAATTGTTTCAAAATTAAAAATAATAAATAAAAATAATTTATTCTAAAATGGTTTATTTTAGAAGAGAAATTAGAAAATAGGCAAAATAAATATTAAAGAAGAGGAAAAAAACAATAAGATTTAAAAAAATATTCGTTAGAAAAGTTTTAAAAAATAATCTTGATTTAATTTTGTAGTAAATTTCATTTTCCTTTAAAAAATTGTAGCGATTAAAAATATTAATGATTAAAAATTATGAAAACTGTTAAGATTTAATTTTGTATTTTGAAATAATAAACAAATAAAGCGAAAACCAGAGACGTAATTTATATTTCGATAATGATTAAATCAACTCGATAATTATTTAGTAATTTACATAATTTATTGGAATTCCATGTTCTTTTGTTGTTACTATTATTAAAAAGGAAAATAATGGATAATAAGTGAATTTTCTCGGGGCAAAAAGAAAGGTGAAATAAAATGAGGAAAATTTATTATTCGTGCGAGTGTCAACTACCGCACCTATGTAATGCTTGTTGGAATACTTGTACATTCGTAAACTCTTTCACACTTGGCATACTTGATAGGATTAATGCATACAATGCACCGTAAGTACATCCCCACTGCCATTTATAACGAGTTAGTTTCAACAGTAACACTCTCTCACGTAGCCGAGGCAAACACGAGGAATACTTATCGATTCTTAATTGATACAATCTCACGCATCTATTTTGCCTACTATTTTCCACTTTATTTTCTAAAATAAACTGTTTTTTTTATTTTTTTTATTTTATTTTAGACTTTAAAACTTTTATTGTTTATTTTTGAGTTTTTAGAATGTTTATCGTTTATTTTAGACTTTTTCAATTTTTATTGATTATTTTAAACTTTTTAAACTTATATCGTTCATTTCAGACTTTTAAACATTTATAAAAATGTAAAAAATTAACTAAAATAAACTATTTAAAATATTTAAATAATATAATATATAATTTTAAAAAATAAAAATATTTTAATTAATGTGTATTTCCTTGGATAATAAATAATTATTTTCATTTCACTTTCTGGAGAATATAAAGTAATGAAGTAAATTTCCAAAATTTTAAATTTTAAAAACAATTTTGATCAGTTTATTAGTTAATATTCAATAAATAAATAAAATGTTGTCTTATTGACTATTTTTATTAGATGCTAAATAAATTTTAAAAATTTCTATAAATAAAATTAATTCTTATTCAATAATCACTGAATATTATTTTCAATAAAAATTATTTTAAAATTTTCAAAATTGAACTACTTTGAATGCAACAGAAATAAATTTATTTAAATAAAAAATATCTGTTTAGTTAAATTTTATAATTTAATTTTTATACCAATTTATTTTCTATGTTTGTAAATTTCCTTAAATAAATCATACTCTGCATTTGTAGAAAGCTTAAAAAGTTGGAAAAAAATTTTTTTTTGACCAATAAAATAAAATATGTTGGAATTATTGTAAATTTTAAAATAGAATTCACAAACTGCAGTCTAATTTATCTTAAGATAAAAATAAAATTAATAAAAAATCTATTAAAAAATAACATTAATAAAGAGGTAATTAAACTTACAATGGTAAATTTAATAAATTAACTTTATTTTTCTTTAATTTTGCAGAAGGGAGAAAAAATTGCTGCGCTCAAAACTCGATAAAGGGCTTACCCTTTATCGAGTTTTTAGCGTAGCAATTTTATAAAACTTTTAATTTTACTTACTGTCGTAAGTTTAAATAATTATTTATTAATTTTATTTTTTAATTTTCCAATCAATTTTTTACAAATTGATTAGAAAATTAAAAAATAAAGTAATTAAAAATTTGTTTAAACTTGAACAAATTTGTAAAACATTGATTAAAAAATTAAAAAATAAAATTAATAAAGAATTATTTAAACTTACGATAGTAAGTAAAATTTAAAAATTTTCTAAAAAATAAAATATATACAAAATTAATTAAACTTACGACAGTAAGTTTAATTCAATTTTTATTAATTTTATTTTCCAATAAATTTTTTCCCCTTTTTATCGTGTTTCGAGAGTAGCAATTTTTTATTTTCTCCCTCCCTGCAAAATTAGAGAAAAAGAACCTCGTCCACTTATTTGTATTTCCGTCGAGAATAAATTTTTCTTTTTTGTTTTATTTACTTCTTTTTTCTTTGTGACTATTTTTTTTTTTTGTTCTTTTTATGGAAATGCAATAGTGAAGATTTCGCATGTTGTAATGCAAGCAAGGTGCATATGGGCTAGGCAGGATAGATAGCGCACCGTGACTGGTGCTGCATCGATGCATTCCATGCACTTTCAATGCATTTCTCAGAGAGACTTTGTACACTGTATTTGCTATTCCACATGTGCAAGGGCCGATCGCGTGCGCTGCATATGTTTTCCAACAAACACTCTGAGGTCGTCGCTACTCTCAATTGTCCACGCATGAGTTCGACGAGCTTCAAAGTTTTCTCAATTGCAGGGAAAAAAAAATTTTTTTTTTTCCTTTTTTTTAACATCTCTTCACGTCTCTAATTTACTGTTAAATCTCTCTCTCTCTCTTTTCTAATAAATGCTGCGAATTTCAAGCAAACATTTCAAACTCTTTTTCTATTTTCCTCAAGATTTTTTTTAACTGTAATAAAATAATATAATTCTTTTTCTTCTTTTGATTATTTAATTTCTATTATTTTTTAAGTAAATAAATAACTAATAAAAAATAAATATAATAATATTAAAATGCTCAAGATTTTTTTATAACTAGTTTTTTTATTTTATACTTATAATATTTATTATTGCTTAGAAATATTTTTTCACCGAAAACGTCGCTTGAAAAGTGAATTAAAATTTAAAAATTAAAAAATTTGACGAAAGAAATAATTTTATTTATTCTTATTTTTTGGTTTTTTTAAACCGTTTTTTGTAATTTTTATTATCTTTATTATTATTAATATTAATTAATTATTATATGGAGGGGGGCAAAATTCACGATTATTTTACTAGCCCCCAAAATTAATGATTAAATATGCTGAATAATTAATTATAATTAATAATAATTATTAATCAGTAACTATAATTAATTTTATTTTACATATAATTTTATTTTCCTCCTTTTGTATAAATTTATAAATAAACGGTAAAAATAATTTTTTTAATTATTTGGTATTTTTTTGTCAATTTCAGAACGAAAAACTGGAGGTGAAACAGAAATGGGCCTCGCGGCTTTTAGGAAAGTTAAGAAAGGACATAACCCAAGAGTATCGAGAGGACTTCGTCCTCAGTATCACGGGGAAAAGGCCGGCCATGTGTGTTCTAAGCAATCCTGATCAAAAGGGAAAAATGCGTCGAATTGATTGTTTGCGTCAAGCTGACAAGGTAATGAAAATTCGATAATAATTTTACTCGGTAAAAATAATTTCAGTGAAAAATGATTTTTCGAAAAAATAATTTGAGACAAAATAATTTTCCATTATTTATTAATTTCTAATTATTTTTATTTACGAATTGGTATTTCTTCTATTTCGAGTTTTTTCTAGTCCTATTGAAATAGATCAATTTTGAAAAATAGTTTAAAGAAATAATTGTAAAAACAATTTGCTGTTATTTAATTATATTTATTTACGAAAAGGCGTTTTATCTAGTCCGTGTGATTATAAATAAATAAATTTGAAAAAATATTTATTTATTTATTTAATTATAAATAATTAAATAAATTTTGAAAAAATAATTTGATGAAATTGGTGAAAAAAATAGTTTACAAAAATAATTTGCATTTATTTATTATAATATTTATTGTTATTTACGAACGGACATTATTTTTTAGACCGTGTGATTATAAATAAATAAATAAATTTGAAAAGATAATTTGTAAAAAATAGTTTGAAAAAAGTAATTGAGAATTGATTTTTATTTTTTGAGGTATGGAGATTGGACCTGGTGATGGTGATCCTATTTAAAGCGATTCCATTAGAATCGACAGACGGCGAAAGACTGGAAAAGACTGCAGAATGTGCTCAACCAGGTCTCTGTGTAAATCCTTACCACATCAATGTCTCCGTCCGGGAACTCGACCTCTACCTCGCCAACTTCATTACCAGTCACGGTAAATTTTCATCCACTTCAACTTTAATTGAGCATTTAATTTTAAACTCGAAAAATTAAGAAGCCAGAATTATGATATCAAATAATTTATAATTTTATAAATCAAATTCCGAAATAATCATATTTAGAAAATAATAATAAATAAATAAAAATTTAGAATTACCTAAATAAATAAATGTATAAAATAATAATTTTTTTGACACAAATATATAAAATAATAATTTCATATTATAAATATATAAAAAAAATAATTATTTTGTATCATAAACGTAAGAAATAATAATTTTATATCATAATTCTAGGTCCTGAATTTTTTTCCTTCGAAAAGAAATAAACGTCTTTAATCTAAAGTCGCGTGTCAAGGAACTGAAAGAAAGCACCAAATATTTCCCACTCAGAGCAAAAATTTAAAATTACAACGTTTCGCTGTTGTTTTTTTCTTCTTCTTTTTGCACTAATTTAGAATTTCTTTGTTACATATTTTCCATTGTCATGGAAAATAAGTTATAAACGAAGAACGAAAAGTAAACTATCTAATTAAGCTTTGAAAAGTAAATCGTGTAATTAGAAACGTAAATTAAAGTAGAAGAAAATTATCCCTTGACATGAAAGAATTCTAAATTATTTTCTCTAAACTATGAATTATCGCAACTGGTGAAAAATCTGATTTTAAAAAACATCAGATTTACCGAACTTTACTTTCGAGTAAAGTTTACTTGGTAATTAACAATTATAGTTAATTATTTATTTATTTAGTTTATTTATTTTATTTTTGGTCTATTTATTTCAATTTTTCTTTATTAATTTTATTAAAAGCAAAATTAAAGAAATGAGAAAAAATAAAATAAAAATAATTGTTACGTTTAGTTATGTTGCAAAATTAAAAAAATACTTTCTAAATTTTAATTAGTAAAAAAGATTACTAATTTGAATTAGTAACTGACTTTTTGCCTTTGAATTAGTAAATTTTACTTGTAAGTTAGTAAAAATTACTAATTATTAGTAAAATTTACTAATTCGAACGCAAAAATTTATTCTAGTAAATAAGTTAGTAAAAATGACTATTTATTAGAAAAATTTACTAATTCAAAAGCAAAAAGTCAGTCACTAATTCAAATTAGAAAACATTTTTACTAATTCAAATTTAATAATTATTTTGTAATTTTGTAACGTAACTAAACGTAACAAACATTTTTATTTTATTTTTCATTTTATTTTGCTACTAATAAAATTAATAAATAAACAATAAAACAAAAATTTTTTGACACGTTAAGTTAACAAACATTAGTAGCAAAATAAAATAAATAACAAAAAATATAATAAAAATGTTTGTTATGTTTAACAGCATGTGATTGTTACAGAATTTAATGTTAATTTTTTCGACCACTTTTCTCTTAAAATATTAAATAAATTAAGCTAGTTTTTTGTGAATAACTCTAAAATATCATAAAGAAGGGCAGTGATGTGAAAAAGTTTTAATATTTTTAAAATTATTTATTAAAAAATAACTTTAAAATTATCAGTTCTCAAAATCACTTTTAATCAATTTCTCGTCTTTTCCGATTTCAAAGTATTTTTTTATAATTTATTTTAGAATTATTAAAACTTTTGCACATCACTGCTCTTCTTTATTATATTTTAGAGTTATTCACAAAAAACTAGCTTAATTTATTTAATATTTTAAGAGAAAAGTGGTCGAAAAAATTAACATTGATTTTTGTAACAGTCACATGCTGTTAATTACGTTACAAAATTAAAAATGTACTTTCCAAATTTGAATTTTTATTAGTTAATTAGATTTAGAATTAGAATTAGAAATAATTAGAATTAGTTTACTAATTTAAATTAGTGACTGACTTTTCGCTTTTGAATTAGTCAATTTTACTAATAAATAGTAATTTTTACTAGCTTATTAGTAAAATAAATAGTAATTTTTACTAACTTATCAGTAATGTAAATAGTAATTTTTACTAATTAGTAAAATTTACTAATTCAAAAGTAAAAAGTCAGTCACAAATTAAAATTACTAAAGATACAAATTTTATGTAATTAAAAAAATTAAACTAATTTAAATTTAAAGAGTATGACAAGGAAAAAAATCCTTACTCGAAAAAGATAAAAATTTATATTAGCGAAATTTTTAGTTATTTCAACTAATACTTTGACCATTCTAGAAAAAATCTCCATTTATTTAATTACTATGCTATTTATTATTTATTCAATTTTTATTTTTATTTGAAATAGTTTTTCCTTTCATTATACACAGGAAAAAAAGTCTGACTCCGTTTACACCTTAAATTCAGCCTTGAAAACAGGCTAAAAGTAAAACTTTTTTTTTTAGTGTGTAATATTTATAAAGAAATTTTTTTCTATTTTCGGAAGATGATGGAAAAAGACAATCGTTTTTCTTTTTTAATTTTTCCATCATCTTCCAAAAATCGAACAAAATTTCTTTATAAATTTTAATTTTAATACCAAAAATACCTAATTCAATAATTCCTCGTGATTGAAAAAAAATTTTTCAAAATTCCTCGAAAACTAATTTTCTATTTCGAGAGATTGTGGGAGAGACGTAGCGACGAAACAAGAATCAAAATTGGCCACTCGCTCTCGAATATATATGTACATATACAAATCATTTGACCGTGAAAGTTATTCGATACATTTTTAATCGCAAATTCTCCCCCACCCCTCTCCCTAGTTATACGACAACGTTTAGCAGATTTGGAATCGAGTATTCATTTTCTCTCGTCCCGAGCCAACGGTCGCTCATTCATTCTCGTACAACCATTCATTCAAAACTAACAACCGCTACTCTACTCGGCTTCGATTCAAAGTTTCTTGGAACGAACGTCTTGCCAATTTCACTGGGTCCCCATGACATGCTCGACACGACGATCTCATCCTCGTATTTACACCCATTCTCTCCTTCTTTTATATATACGCTTGTATATATGCTGTCTCCCATCATCAGACAATCCTCCTTCAACCACTCACTTTGAACACGTCATCAAAACAGCTTGCTCGTCATTTCCCTCTCGGAAATAGACATTTCAACGTATGTGAATTTTATTCGAGATGGAAGGAAGGATGCTGCTCGATTATGCAAAGGGGAAAATTTGGTTATAAGTGAAAAAGTTCTGATCGCTTTTACTTGGGGGAGTTTTCTTTTTCTTTTTGTTTTTTTGTCTCAATTTTTATTTTGGTGGCATATATTTTCTTGGTTGAGTTTTTTTTAACTAATTGGATGAGTGATTTTTGGAAAATTATTTGAGGGTTGTCACCCCCAAATAATTTTCCAAAAAACAATCGAAAATCTTTTCGAGGATAAATCCAATCGAAGACAATAACTCCAATCGAAGATTTTTTTTCTTCAGTTGATTGTCATCCATTAGAGAATAATTCTAATTTTTTCGCAATTGTAATTTTGTAACCAGAATGATTTTAATCGAGCTGAACTTTAATAAAAAATCTAGAATAAAAATCTTGACTCCAGTGGAGTAGAATGATAATCGATAATAATCGAAATCGAATATAACTTCAATCGAGGATTACTTCGGTTGATGATAAATCTAATCGAAGAATATGTCGAGTAGAGATGTAATCGAGAATAATCTCAATCGAAGATCATATCGAGGACAACTCTCCTAAAGGATTACTCCAATTGATTGTAATCCAATCGAGGACAATACTAATCGGGTATAATTGCAATCTAGTAACTAGAACAACTTCAATCGAGTAGAACTGTAGATGATAAATCGACAAACTAACTATAATTTTTGATAAATAAATAAATAAATAAATGAAACAAATATAATATAATGTAATATAATTCGTTTATATTTATTATATTTTTAAAAATATAATAATATATAAACGAATATAGAAAATAATTTTCATTCTCAATATTCGTTTAGAAAGAACTTTACTCTTTCTTCACTCTTCACTTTTCTTTAGTATTAATTTTTTTTACTTTACTTTTCTTCAATCTTTAATTTTATTTAATCTAGATAACACAGTTTTCCTAAGGATATCAAATTGAGATATCAAATTTACTCTTTCTTCACTCTTTAATTTTTTTTGATCTAGATAACACAGTTTTTCTAAAAATATAAAATTTACTTTTTCTTCACTCTTCACTTTTCTTTACTTTTTATTTCTTTTACTCACTTTTCATTACTTTTTATTTTTTTACTCTACCTTTCTTTACTATTTAATTCTATTTAATCTAGATAACAGTTTTTCTAAGGATATCAAATTTACTCTTTCTTCACTCTTCTTTTTATTTCTTTTACTCACTTTTCTTCACTCTTGAATTTTATTTACTCTAGATAACACAGTTTTTCTGAGGATATCAAATTTACTCTTTCTTCACTCTTCACTTTTCTTCGCCCTTCAATTTTATTTAATCTAGATAACAGTTTTTCTAAGGATATCAAATTAAGATATGAAACACTTTTGATTCGTTTTTTGTCTCAAGTTGAAAATCTTAGAAAAACTGTAAATAAATACAAAATGGATGTAAAGTTTATTTTTCAAAATAACGTTTCGGGAAAAATTTTCAAAAAGGAAAAATTAGAAGAAATGGAGAAAAATACAAGAAAGTTATTTTTCCATCTCTTTGACTTTCGCCACGTGTTCTCCACGTGGTCGTCTCTTGTCTGGAAGTATATCAGAGAGTACCTGGCTCGGTTTTTGACTCATGAATTGAAAGCGCAAAGTTTGGCCGCTAGCACAAGAAAACACTATGTGAGTTACAACGGTTATACGCTTTGGCAGCCACATTTCTAATGTTTACAGCCGGTTGACGTAAAAATTGGCCAGGCCTACCGCACTACATTCACGAAAAAAAAGAAGAGAGTGCCAAGACATGTAATGGGGTAGGTTAGGCGTTAACCGTTCCAGATTTTCTTCCTCTCGATTTCCCAAAACATCTCTTCTCTACAGCTCCCCCCGCTTTATATATATATATATATATTCATGTCTCATTTATTATCATTC